TCTTGGAATCACATCCAGCAGTGGTGGGAACAGCTCGCAAAATCCAACCACTTCACCTACTTCATTGCCCCCAACCCTTTCTCGTACCTCTATTGAAACAGAATGGTTTCATGTTCTTTCATCGATTGGTTATTCCTTTCCGTTCGTATCTCTTTCTCCAATTTCGGTCTCGATTAGTTCACAAGATTGAATGGCCAATTCTCCTCCGGACCCTCGATTCGATTGTTTTCCAAGAATGTTGAGCCGGGTATGTAAGCCATGTATCTGGGAGGAACTTAAAAGAAGGGCTTTCGGTTTTTTTCACCCCGTTTTGTGGTCTTGCAGCTATTTAAATAAATAAGAATATAAAATTATATATATATATAATAAGACTTTTTTAGAAGAAAGATTCTATATATGTCCAATCCCCAGTGGTGGTGGGACCAACCAAGATGTATGTCGTCCAACCCAACCTCAGACTCTTTCTTCCCGACCTATTTGACTCTCTGGCCGCAGTTATAGTTATTTAGGTGGTATCCCGCCGAGATTGAAGAGATCGAATTCCTCCGGGGAACACACGAAACAAAGATATGAACTGGGTAAATAGAAATGGAAAAGAGATGTTTCCAATTCATCAAAATGAGAAGCTTTTTCTACATCCATATGATCTACTAAAGTAGATCGGTATTGCCCATATAATAAAAGCAGATCTTGGTCCATGGAATCCCAAGAAGGTAAGAACTCCAACCTGTCCGATGCTTCTTCGGCCAAATACGATATACAAGTGGGACCTGCACTATGCGCAAGCTGTGCGAAAAACCGCTTCTTTTTTCCGGTTCTGAAACAACTTGGGCGAAATAGGGTTCTACCGGGAAACCATGGATTTTTTAGTTTTCGCCATTGGTTACTGGTTGAGCCACTGGAATGGAATGAGATAAGAATCTCTGGAGATCTTTCCTCTCCACTTACTCGTAACAGGCTTTCCCTCTGTAGAAGACTTCTTCCGAATGGCATAATTGGGAGATTGATTCCTCGATCTTCAAAGAAAACTGACTCCTCCTACTCCTTCTTCTCCTTTAGGATAGGATCGTCGTTGGTCCTTCTTTCACTAATGATCTAATGATCTCACCATTTTCTAGTAGTTCTCGCGAACGCGCGAGGGACTATCCTTTCTATCGCTTGCCCTTTCTTTTCACTCTCAAGACAAGGCTCTCTCTCTTTTATAAAGCGAAGCAAAGCGCATGGCGCTGAAAGCTCAATAAACACAGACGAACACGATGCAGGGCATAGCATAAATGAAACCGCTGATCATTTCATAAAACATATATGCTTGACCTTTCTCGATGCTTTTTTTGGGTGACTCACCAACCGACCCAGCAGTGATCGATGACAGAATGGTACGAACAAATCAAAGTCATTGGATTTGGTAGTTCTCCATGGACTTCTCTCTTTAGCCCTTTGTATATGTTCATAAATGGGTGTGCACCTCCAGATGGGCGGGGGCCGGCCTCCCACTCTCTTATCTTATGCAGCATTTATTAGCGGTTGGGTGGATCGTGCAATAAGCCTCTCTCGACCCTCCGTTTCTCATACGTCTTTATGAAAGCCTCTCGCCTTTCGAGATCCGGTCCATCATCAACTCAGTCAGATCTTCTTGTTTGCCCGCTTTGATTAGGCTTCCTTTAACGGATTTGATCGGCATTTCGTGCCTGCAGTCCTGCTGAATTCGACCTTTTATCAGGGTAGCGTAGTAAGGTTAGAGGCGCAACTAGAAGAGTTGGCCCTATTTCTCTTTTTTGATCAATTCGATTGCAGTCTCCGAAGTCCTTCTTGATCGATGGTCCCCATTAGCATTAGTGCTAATTAGCAGCCGCTTTTTTTGGAAGGCGAGATACTTATGTGTGACCGCGGATTCCACGGTAGCAGTAGTTCTAGCTCTACATTAGGAGCAGGGGGGCTCTATCTAAAGGAGGTACGGACCCCTCCCATAGTACGGTACGATGCAGCTGAAAAACTTAATAGGCTACCGCGGCTCGCTTCGCTTTTGTTGCGGAGCTCACTGCTTTTGGAGTAGTGCTTGCAGCTTGCTGCTTTCTGTTCAAGCGGAGCTCGCTGTCTACTCCACGAGTCGCCACAGCTTCGCCTACGCCACTTGTATATAGACAACAATAGCGCCCAAGATTTCCCCTTCGCGTAGTTCATTGAACCTTCCAACTTCACTCCGTGGCCTGTGCTAAAGAAGCGTGTCTTAACTAATTCCTTTGAACTCATTTCACCTATTCTACCTCTCGATATCTCCTCACCTTGCACCTTTTCTTTCTTTTCCTCATCCCATGATCCTTTCCCATGTCGTGGAAGTGAGCTCCTTCGTCGCTCCTTCATTCTTCATAACGACTATAACCAAGCTGCCAACCAATAAAGCAAGCACCTTCATGGACTGAGACCGTGGAAGCTCCGTTAGCACCTTAAGGCTGTCTTTATCCTGAGAACCCTCGGGAATATTCAGAGACTCGGCTAATGCTTCTAGGCCCACATTCGGAGACAGACCAAGCACCTCTCTTACCCACTCACTATCTAATAAACCGGACTGGCTTATTATCTGAATGAGATCGGAAAGAGAGGAGGTAGCCCAAATCTTCCAATAGGCGCATACGAAAGGTTCTGAAAGAATTGAAAAAGCTCTGAAAAATAAACAACCCGACCTGAGGAACTACCAACAACGGAAGAACTAGCAACAGCGGGAGAAACCGTTTCTAACCTCAGCTTCACCCCCTTCCTCGGGATTCTTTCTTTGATGATATGCCCTAAGCCCCTTTCAGAAGACCGAAGTCATTGGTGCTTTGCATAAGGGGTAAGAGCGCCATAAAGACTATTGGTACCTATCATAGACTTGACTCATTTTATGGGCTTGAATTCCTTTCCCCGAGTTAGAGGGGTTTTCTGAAGGTCTTCCTCAAGGGCCACTTGGTTCTCAAAAAGACTGTTACCCCCGGCCAGAGTAGAAGTAGGCAAACGGATGTTTCTGGGGGGAACTACGGGAGACGGAGACAGGTGGTTAGGCGAGATTCTAACTTCTGGCTCATCGCAATTCCATTTCTTAAAGTGCAAGTCCAGTTTTCTCTTTTTATGAAAGTGAAAGTCAGGTTAGCCCCTTCTTTCAATTCCAAAGATGCTCTCAAATTGCTGTTCAAGATTATTTTACCCTAAGGCTTCTCGCGGTCAGGCAAGCGTGGCAGAGCGTAGCATGTATCCAGCCATCCGAACTACTTACTGAAGGGCAAGCACCAACGAATTACTCACTTCATTCACAGCGCGGGGGAGAGACAGAGAGGGGTCAGTAATAACTCACAGCCGGGGTAAAAAGGTCCTACTTCCTTACTCACTCAAGTCATTGCTTTGACCGAACCATAGGCCGAAAAGAAAAGATTTTTTAGATACTTGTTACAGGCCTGACCAAGAGCGCAAAAGAGCTTTATTTAGAATTAGAGTAAGGGCACGCCATTTGCAATGCCTTTTCTTGCTTTCGACAGGACCCCCTTCCGACAGGAGAAAAAAGATTACGCCAATGCCAATTGCCAATGATATAGAGTTTCTAGCGATTACGACTATAAAGGGCAGGAGATGAATTAAAGAATCGTACTGCAACTGCTGAAGAGAGATCAGAGCTAGTACTAGAGGAAGCGATAGCGGACAAAAGAGCTCAGAGAGCAGTGCAGCTAAGCGGGAAGATCTGTGATCTATTTGAAAGAGCATATCGCAAAGACCGGTATATTGCACATACTGATTGATTGATTGTATAGATTGAGTCTCAATTAGAGAGTTATGATATATCTATAGTACCCCCGCCGATGAGACTTTCCAGCTCGAGGCTAGAAGCTACCAACACTTTAATACAAACAAAAACAGAAATCGGAATTCGTGGGGCCCGAGGCCTTACAGAAAAAGATCGATGAACGATTAAGCGAGACTTTGCCTTAGAGACCAATGAAATGAGACCAAGAAGCTTTATTACACAAAAGTTCTTTGAAGACCTTTTGCTTCTGCTTCCCTGCTTACTATTGCTATCACCTCAACTGCTTTGACCTGCTCACTTAGAGTGAAGATCAATAATGGGCGGAAAGGAGTTCACACAAGACCACAGAGCGAGAGAGAGAGCCTTCGCTTACCTGTTTAACCGTGCCCTCCTATCACACCTATCTCCCTTTTCCTTCAGTCACATCCAGTCTCAGTTCTGCTTCCAACTACCGAGCTTGGACGTATAGCAAGATTGAATAAGAGATATGGCATACGGGAATAGTATATGAAATCACAAAGGCTGGAAAGAGACTGGAGAGGAGCGTGGAAAATACTTAATAAAGCACCTTAGCAATTACTAGTAATGCCCCTATCGACCTCAGTCTTGTTTTTTGCTAGCTTTAGTCTAGAACTAGACTATCTCATTAAACGTCGAATATCCCTATGATGCTAGCCAGTGAAAAAGGAAGGAGTCTACTTCTTTGCTGGCTTGACTCCAGAACTAGTAGAGGAAGGAAGCGATGATCGGTCTATCCCATTAAGCGTAATCCCGCTAGCCAATGAAAGGACTACTCTTCTTGGACTGTGAGCGACGACACCAGATCAGAGCTAAGTGAGAGACGATAAATGCGATTAAACTGCTTTATAACTGCTCGATTTATAAGTCTTGCCTAAGTCCTAGACTTGAATGAAGCAGCCTGGCTGAAAGTCGTATTTGCTTTTGCTTTTCTTGTTCTCTTTTCTTAGTTAGGCCCAAGAAAGTACAAGATATAGCTTGACTAATATACTAAGATGATAGCTAGAGACTAGAGATGAGAGTGCAGGATCTAGATTTGTAACAAATATTCGACTTTGCTTATGCAAATTGTTATGTACCAAAACCAAAGAATATCGTCGATGGGATACAAAAAAAGAGGATCCTACTTCGCTCATGCACCGTCTTTTCACCCTCCTACCGCTGGTAAAGCTAGCAGTCTAATAAAATTTCTGCATGTTAAGACAGCACACTAGTACATTTTCATTGACCACTGAGACCAACCCCCAAGCCCGGTCTTTGAACTAATAAAGATGGCATAGTAGAAAACTTCAGACTGACTATCATCGCGCTTGAAGTCCACCCAAGAGAGTTCCCCGGCTTCTCGTGATGAGCGCAGCGCAGCAAACGGTGTTTGCGCCAGAGGAGGGTGGTGAGAACCGTTGAGCCATTGGCTTGCTGAGCTTTTCTGATTTGGGTTTCTCACCCACATCACCGAGAGGAGGGCTTTTTTCGTTATAGAAAAGAAAGGTCAATGAAAGGATTCAGTAATGACGCCATGCATCACCATTGAGTGCTGTGCTGAAGAGAAAAAAACCGAAAAAAGTTCCCCACATTGGGAGAGAAAAGAGAAGACTGCGGTCAATGATCAATTGTGCACATCCTTTTTGGATGGTCGGCTTAGAGTGAAAGCATACGAACATAGACTTTGTGACTGACTTCGCCGTATAAGCATATCTTCACTGAAAGTCATTAGGGCTGCTTTTGCCCATGCCATGAATGAGAGTGAGTCCAGTCCATCTTCCTTCCCTGGATATGCTGTGTCCTCTACATTCGCTTCGTCCTCCGCCTCTACTGCGCAAAGATTTTGATCCCCCGTTTAGTGAGTCGTGAAAGCACCTACCTTATGTTTAGACGTATTGGTTTCAGTGAAAAGCCAAATAGAGAGTTTTGCGTGTGCCTGCTTTAGTAAGAGTAAGGAAAAAGCTTGAAAAGCGTACTTGCTTTAACAACGGAAAGAGGTTCCTTCAGCGGTTCAGCTTTAGGTCTCGGTTCAGGTGCTTTTCATGATTGTGGTGTTTGATTGGGCACGGGCGTTCCTGTCCTTACTTAGAGGTCAAGTTGCCACCTGTCTATCGAAGGGGGATTTCCCAGCCTATCTCGGTATATGTTACCGAAAGAAGGAAGAAGAATCTAATGATTTCCCTAATTCTGTGAGAAAGAAAAACCAGTTTGTTAGAGCTGGGCAGAGAAGCAATCAACAGAATGGGTCCCTGTTGTTCACAAGTGAAGGCACTGAACGGATCAAGATCTCGTAAATTCATTGTCTTTCTTGATTCAAATCAGAAAGAACTTCTTTCGCTATTGAAGCCATGCCTGAGCTGTCAGCTTATTAGCATCCCTCTTCTGCGTTAGGAATTGTCCGAAAAGGTTCGATTGAATCCCATGCTTTCATGGTCCCTATCTCTGCCCCGGCACTGGCCGACACGTAGGTCTATTCCGCGCTTTCCTAGGTGCGCATCTCCATCTACTAAAAGTAGGGGTGGTTGCCATAGATAGATTGGGTCATTCGTAACCAGAGCAATAACCGATGCTACAGCATAAACTAAAGCTATACGTGGCGGCCCCTAAAGGCGTAACTGACAGGTTCTGTTTTATCTGCCCATCCGAGTCATCCCGTACTCCAAAAAAGCAGAGGTGAGGTCCGGAGAGTGGGACGGATCTACCTGGCCAAGGTGCCAATGTCAAGTGGTTATCCGAAGTGTTGGAATATGCTCTACCTACGGTACCTAACTAGTCTTTCTTTTCGGTAAGTAAGAATACATTGACCGATGGAGGAGAACCCCCGAAGTAAACATAAATGAAGGGGCATACCCCACCCCAGGCAACCAAACAAAGAACTCAAGACACTCCCCGAGCTCTAAAATAAAGAAACTAACCTATGGAAAAAATTATTGAAATTAGATTACGATTACAAAGGCTAAAAATAATCCAAGTTTCTACGTAATCAAAAAGAGCCTAAGGATTAACCGAAACTAAGCACATACTAAGCCCAATAAGACACATTGGCCTAGATATACATGAGGCCAACTGAAAAACAGGTATACACATCAAATAAACTAGGATGAAACATAGGATTCGGTGGATGATTCGGCATCCTTTATTAATTGCGTATATAACGGTAGCCCTTCCTAAATAGTTTTTGAGTAGGCTAGGAAAGAAAGAAGAAATGATAGAGCGAAATGGGTTGGTTGCCCAAAGGGCTATCTGATCTGATCATGGGGGATAGCACAAGGGCTTAAGGCATTGGTTTGCTAAATCGACATACAAGAAGATTGCATCATGCATGGGTTCGAATCCCATTTCTTCCAGTCTTTTCCTACTGAACACTTTCCTGCTCAAGATAGGGTACTAGAAAGGGATCATACGAAGGCTATGTTCTTTTTTTAGATCTAGCCTGAATGACTCCTAAACTAAAGGTTTTCATTATATCTAAAGTGTGCAGTGAGGGATCTTTATATTATAGGTAGCCAGTCTTTACTTCACTCGACCCAAGCAATGCCCAAAGAGTCCCATGCCTTTCTTGGTCGGACCAAGCCAACTGGCGATTTCCGACAAGTCTTTCCTAATTTTTAGAGCAAGAAGCGGAACTACAGGGATGAAATGAAAAGTGTTTCTTACGATTACGCCCAACAGCCCACTTGAGCAATTTTCCATTCTCCCATTGATTCCTATGAAGATAGGAAACTTGTATTTCTCATTCACAAATTCATCTTTGTTTATGCTGCTAACTCTCAGTTTGGTCCTACTTCTGATTCATTTTGTTACAAAAAAGGAGGAGGAAACTTAGTACCAAATGCTTGGCAATCCTTGGTAGAGCTTATTTATGATTTCGTGCTTAACCTGGTAAACGAACAAATAGGGGGTCTTTCCGGAAATGTTAAACAAAAGTTTTTCCCTTGCATCTTGGTCACTTTTACTTTTTTGTTATTTTGTAATCTTCAGGGTATGATACCTTATAGCTTCACAGTTACAAGTCATTTTCTCATTACTTTAGGTCTCTCATTTTCCATTTTTATTGGCATTACTATAGTAGGATTTCAAAGAAATGGGCTTCATTTTTTAAGCTTCTTATTACCCGCAGGAGTCCCACTGCCGTTAGCACCTTTTTTAGTACTCCTTGAGCTAATTTCTTATTGTTTTCGCGCATTAAGCTTAGGAATACGTTTATTTGCTAATATGATGGCCGGTCATAGTTTAGTAAAGATTTTAAGTGGGTTCGCTTGGACTATGCTATGTATGAATGATATTTTGTTTTTTATAGGGGATCTTGGTCCTTTATTTATAGTTCTTGCATTAACCGGTCTGGAATTAGGTGTAGCTATATTACAAGCTTATGTTTTTACGATCTTAATCTGTATTTACTTGAATGATGCTATAAATCTCCATTAAAGTGGTTATTTATTTATAATTGAACAAAAGCGAGGAGGCGAAGCCGCTTTACCGAATTGTAGAGGTGAAGGTACGAGAACTTCCCCCGAATCGACAAAAAGATTCCGAGCACGTCTGGTCAAAGTATATCTTGTCTTTACCACGAGCCATTTTCCGGCTAACAAGAATGAAAGTTTTGCACATATCCGCGGTTCTTCAATTTTATTTATTCCTCATAGACGAAAGAAGTAAGGTGGTATACTATATTTCTCCGCTTATTTGAACTCCTTCTAATGACCTATGCATTTCTGTTATCATTTCCAGTTGTTCGATCCATTGTGATTTGGTTCCTTGTGTGGAGAGATCTCTGCCATAAAAA